GTACCCCACAGCACCCACATGAGCACACCTCGGGGGGGGGGGAAGTGGGGGTCCTCACACCTGTTTGTCATCCCCTTCGGCACCCCCACCCCTCTGTGGGCACCGTCCCAGGCCCCCGTGAGCACCCTGTAGCCACCTGCATCCCACCCTGCACCCATGGGTGTCCCTTTTGCCCCTGAGCCCCCTCCCCGTGCATGCTCCCCCCCGGGTGATGGGATGTGGGTGGGCTGGGTGACGGCTGGGGGGGTGGGAGTGAGGGGCAGGGGGGGCCAGGCCCTGCCTGTCCCCTTGCCCCCCAACCCCGGGGCGTAGACATGATCGGGCAGAGGACGCGGAGCAGCAAGTCCCCGGGCGAGGGCAGAGTGGCCAGCGGGAAGGAAACGCTGCGGCTGCGGGCGCAGGGCCCGGCCACGCTGGAGGAGGGGGTAAGACCCCCCCCCCCCCACCCCCCGAGACTCTCCCACCCTGACCCCACGGTGCTCACACTGTGCCCAGGGTGGGAGACGAGCACCCCCGTACCCCTGGGTGAACCTCATGGGGTGCCCTGCTGGGTGCCCACATTTACAGCACCCGTGAGCATGGCTCTGTGGGAGTGGGGGGTGGGGGGGTCCCCGGGCTGTGCCCCCTCACCCCCTGGCACCGACCACCGTTCCTCTCACCTCCAGCCCACCCCCTTTGAGGAAGAAGCTGCCCGCCGGGTGGACGACCTGCTGGAGAGCTACATGGGCATCCGCGACAGCGAGCTGGGTGAGCGGGCAGGGGGGTGTGTGGGGGGGACACACCACCCGGACCCTCACCCACCGCTGACCGTGCCCCTCTCTTGCAGCCTCAACGATGGTGGAGGCGGCCAAGGAGAGCCCCGGCGCAGCCCAACTCGCCCGCGGCTTGGATTCGGTGCTGGGCGAGTTCGCCTTCCCCCAGGAGTTCGTGGCCGAGGTGTGGGCAGCCGTCTGCCACCCTAAGGGGGGGCAGGAGTAGCTGGGGAGGGGGTGGCAGTGCCCCTCGCCCATGTCCCCTCCCTGCGTCCCCACCCCACCTGGGGCTGATGGTGCCTGGAGGGGTCCCCATCCTGCCCCCTGCACCTTCCTGAGCTGCAGGAGGGTCCTGAGCGTTTGGAGGGGCGAGGGGCAGCAGGGCACCCACTTCCCCCCCCCCCATCCCACTAGCGACCCCCCCTTGCACGCTCCCGAAATGTGGTGGGAAGTGGCTCATTAAAGCAGAGACTGGAGGAGAAGGGCTGTTGTTCTGGACACTGGGTCCCCCGGGGGTGCTCACCCCCCCCATGGGCACAGAGAGCTGTACAAGCTGTGTTTTATTGGGGGGGGGCACTCAGATGGGGATGGGGAGGGAGGAGCAGCCCTGCCTGTCCCCTCTACTAGCTAACAAGGGGGGGGGCCACTACTGCAGGACGGATTCGGAGGTGAGCTTTCGGCGCAGGGAGGGGTTGAGGACGGGGTAGAGGGAGAAGACGGAGGGGCGGGGGCGCAGGCTGGGGTAGACGCGCTGCAGCACGGCCCGGCGGAAGAGGATGTAGACCCAGGGGTCCAGGATCTGGTTCCAGGTGACCATGCGGATGTAGATGAGCAGCATCTTCTGCGTCTCGGGGGGCAGCACCCGGATCCGGCCGTCGGCCGGCAGCTGCTGCAGGACTGTCTGCACGATGAAGATCTGGGGGGGGATGGAATGGGGCAAGGCATCAGCAGGGGGGAGGTCCATGAGCCCCCCCGACCCGGGGTGGGGGAGATGATGAGGGTCCAGGCTGGGCGTTGAGCCCGTTGGAGTGGTGTCCCAGACTGGTTTGGGCCCCCCAATACTGGGAAGCACCTGGTGTGCCTGCGAGCGGTGCTGAGCCCCAGACCCACCGCTCGGGTGCCAGCCCAGGGGGCAGAGTGGTGGCGGGGGGGGACACCAAAACACAGGGCCTCGCCAGGAGGGACATGGAGGCGAAAAACACCCCAAGACCTGGGACCTCACCAGGAGGAGCATGAGTGGGACAGCAAGGCCCAGGAGGGATGTGAAGAAGGGGACAGCAAGACCCAGAGCCTCACCAGGAGGGGCATCCAGCAGATGGTGGCGATGACCATGATGCCCACGAGCTGCACCATCATCTCCACCTCGCTGTCCCGGCGCCGCTGCACTGACTCCCGGTCATGGTAGACACGGCAGAGTGTCACCACGCTGACGGTGTTGAAGATGAAGGAGAGCAGCACGGAGAAGATGCCCAGGAGGGCGAAGAGCAGGCAGAAGATGACATCGCCGGTGTCGGGCAGGAGGGTGATGAAGCACCAGGAGCCAGGGTACTGCAGCGTGTACCGCCCCAGCCCCAGCACCGGCAGCAGCCCCAGCAGGCAGGAGAAGCCCCACACCAGCCCCACGATGGACCAGGCGCGGCGCTTGGAGATGCTGGTGGAGCGGGAGAAGGGGTGGTTGATGCCAAAGAACCTCTCCCCAGCCATGGTGGCCCCCAGCAGCAGCGGGCACTGTCCGAAAAAGACCATGGAGAAGCCGAGGAAGTTACAGAGGTGGCAACCGGTGTCCACCTTGGCCCAGGTGAACTTGATGAAGTGGTAGGGGATGATGACCGAGGCCGTCACCAGCAGCCCCATGAAGTCCGTGACCACCAGCCCGCAGAGGAAGACGAGGAAGGAGGAGCGGGTCCGGCTGGACAGCTTTCGGGAGGAGCTGAGCAGGACGCAGAGGGCGAAGAGGTTGGAGCAGAGGCCGATGAGGCCGAAGGCCGTGGAGAACCAGGGCGAGGTGATGCTGTTCTGCACCGTGTTGTGACCCTCGCTGGCATTGAAGACCCCGAAGCACGTGTCTGACCGGCTGGCCAGGCTGCTGTTGGGGGGGTCCATGTCGCCCCAGCCCATCCCACTCCTTCCAGCAGCTTCAGGCGCCCTCCTGGCTCAGCTCCATGGTGTCCTCCGGTGCCGGCGCTGATCCCGCCTCACCCTGTGGGGACAAAGAGGGGGGTTTAGGGCCAGGCCCCATGGCCGAGCCCATCCATCACCACGGAGCACCCCGCGGGCTGGGGAGGGGGACACTGTGCCAGGACCACGGCACGTGCCATGGCACCGCTCTGGGTGCGGCGGCAGCAGCCTCGGGGAGGGCCCCAGCCCCACATCTGGCCGGGATTAACCGTCCCCGGCCACGAGCCACATGGGGCTGTTGCCATGAGGCTGCAATCCGGCGCGGCGGGTGTTTGGAGAAGAGCGGCACCGACGGCTCGGCTCTGACGGCGCTGCCTCCATCCCACCCAGGGGGGACGTGGCCAGACCCCCCCCCCCCGAGGAGATCTGCCCTCTGCTGTGGGAGGGGGGATGCTCTGAAAGCAGGGGGGTGCAGGAACAGGGGACTGATCCTGCACCCTTCTCATCCCTGCTCGTTCCTCCCTGCACCCCAGCTCTGCAGGGAGAGGCGCCGTTCCCACAGTCTGGTGGGGAAACTGAGGCACGGGGTGGGACGTCCCTGCCCCAAGCTGTGTGCTGCCTTCCCGGTGCCATCACCGCAGCCCACCCACAGCCCTGGGGGACACAGCTGGCCTCTGCGTGTGACATCCCTGTTTCCTCCCCCTTCCCTGGCCCCGGAGTCGAGGGTCTGTCACCAGGACGTTGTCCTGGTGGCCGTGGCAGGGTGCGTGGGGACGGCTGGGGTCATGGGCAGCCCGGTCCGTGCCACGCTGGCTGCCTGGGCTGTGACCTGGGGACAGGAAGCATCCATCATCTGGAAAGCCCCAGGGCTGCTGCCTCCATCGCTAATTAGTCCAGGCTGCAAACGGGGACATAGAATCACAGAATCTTCTAGGTTGGAAGGGACCTTAAAGATCATCTTGTCCAACCGTCAACCTCACTGACAAAAATAGACACCCACACAACAAACAAGGAGCATCATCACTAAACCAGACCTCCCAGCACTACATCAACCCGGCTTTTGAACACCTCCAGGGATGGGGCCTCAACCACCTCCCTGGGCAGCCCATTCCAATGCCTGAGAACCCTTTCCGTGAAAAAATTTTTCCTAATATCCAGCCTGAACCTCCCCTGGCGCAACTTGAGGCCATTTCCTCTCGTCCTGTCACCTGTGACTTGAGAGAAGAGACCGACCCCCATGTCTCTACACCCTCCTACATGCAGGATGGGGCAGTGGCACGGTGACAGCGGGGACCGGACACCACAGGAGCCAGACCCTTCCCCTCCTCCTGGGACACATTTCTCCAGGCTGTGGATGTCCTCACTACCCCGTCCCCACGGCTCTGACTGACCCTGTCCCCAGGGCAGTGGCCCCTGTGGGATGCCCAGCTGCGTCCCAGCCCCCTGCCTCTGCAACGATCCCTCTGTGGTGCTCCCCGGTGGTGGGGGTCCTGGCACCCCTGCCTTCTCCTCCTGCAGGGTGGCACTGCCACCTGCCCTCTGTCTCTGTCCCCAAGCCAAACCTCCTGCCAGCCCTTCTCGTTGCCAAACACAGTGGCTGGTCCTGCATCCAGCTCTGCTCTGTGTCCCCATGTCCTGGGTGAGCCCCGTGCCGTGTCCCACAGCCTGGCACCCCCCGCAACTCGCCACCCCCTTTCCAGCCCCTGGCGTGAGGGCGGCCACGGGGCTGGGAGCCGCTGCGCATACCCGAGGCGTGCGCTGATCCCACAGCCCACCCGGGGGCTGGGATGGGGCCAGGCATTGCAACATCCCCCGCCGGGGTCACATCCAGGCGGGGGGCTGGGCTGGGGGGGCTGGCACCCACCCGGCACGACAGCACCCCCACCGCCAGCGACACCACGAACCCCCGTGGCTGCTGGGTGGTGGTGGGGACATGTCTTCGGCCCTGTCACCGTCCCTGTCCCGGTGCAGGAAGCTGGCAGAGCGTGGTGATGATTCACTGGGGCAGTGCGATGACAGACATGGCTTTTTCCATGAGACAAGAGTGAAAACTTGCCCCTGTTTGTTTTCTCTGGGCCCTGAGGGATGGCAGCGGCCCCAGAGGCGTCAGTCCTCTTGGGACACATGGTCAGGCCTCAGTGTGATGGTTCTGGGTGCTGAGGAACCACCAGCCTTTCCCATGTCCCCTGAGAGGTGACAAATTCCTCCCTGCCTCACAGGTCCTGCTCTGCTGTCCCTTGGCATGTGCCTGCCCTGGCCTCAAATGTGTGCCCACCCGTGTCCCCCCTGCCCCGGGTTGCTCACTTCCGTGTGGCTGGGGATCAGGAGCTCACAGAGAGATGCCACCCTCCTGTCCCCATCGCCCAGGGACTCACAGCCATGGGATGCTCTTGGCTCGGTGTGGCAGGCTCTGACCCCTCTCCCCATGGTGTCCAGAGGGAGGATCTCCCCAGCTGGCACCACGGCTGGGCAAGGACGCACCAGCCCCAGCAGCACCACGCTGCTCACCCCAAATCCCACGTCTCCTCCCCGTCCCGCCCCAGCACCACCACGACCCAGACCCTCACCCACCACCAGCCGAGGACACGGGGGTCTGCCCCAGGACGGGGCTGGGATGCTGGGACAGGCTGGGGGACGAGCGGTGGGTGCCACCCTCCTCGGAGCTGCCTCAGCCGCCCGGCGTGGGGCCGCGCAGCACTTAGAGGGAATCAAATATTAAAGAGCTGGGAGCCAGCCGAACCCCACGTGTGCCAGAGCACAACAGAGGCACTTACGGGAAGGGGTTCATGTGGGGGCCGGGGGGCTCCTCACTCGCCTTCTCCCTCCGTCCTGGGTGGCCACGGCAGGAGGACACGTGTGGGGACAGCAGGTCCTGCGGAGGAGACACCCTGAGCCCCGTGCCCGTCCCTGCCGACCCCGCGCCGCGCTTTGGGGCTACTGGATCCGGCAAAACCCTCTCCAGGGAGATTCCACGGGAGGAAGGGTTTGGCTGCGAGTGAAGGCAGAGGGTGCTGGGGTTAAAATCCTGATGGAGAAGGGCTGTCTCCGAAATGTGCTGCTGGAGGCCCAGAGGCGCTGGGAGCAGCGGCGGGGGCCGGTGCTTAATGGGGTTCTTGGCGAGCCCGTGGGTCGGCGTTAACGCACCGCAGCCGCCTTGTCTGCGCCGGGCGCCACTTCCTGCCCCGGCCATATCGGAGGTTAACGAGGGGGAGGTTAACGAGGGACAGGCCGGGGGGTAACAGGGAGCGCAAGAGGCTGCTCCTTATCAGCGCAGCGCCCATCGCTTCTCCGGACTTCCTCGGCAGGATCAGGCTGGGGGGGGGGATGGGAAGGGAGGGCTGCTGGGCACCCACACGCTTGCAAAGGGACCCCAAACTGGGCAGCAGAGACCCCCCCCGCAAAACACACCCCCCACGTGCCCCCTCAGCTGGGGCTCTGCCACCTGGGACATGGTCCTCGGCCGCGGGGCGGCTGTGGAGAAGATGCTGCGCTGGGCACCCACACGCTTGCAAAGGGACCCCAAACTGGGCAGCAGAGACCCCCCCCAACACACACCCCATGTTCCCCTTCAGCTGGGGCTCTGCCACCTGGGACGTGGTGCTCAGCCGCGGGGCGGCTGTGGAGAAGATGCTGCGGAGTGTTTGCATCTGTCCCTTTGCTTGTCCCTTTGTCCCTCTCCAGGGACAGCCCCGTCCCACCTTGGCCTGGAAGGACGGGGACTTTCTCTGCAGTGTCCCTTCCCTCTCTCCAGCCTGATGTCCCTCGTGCAGGTGGTCCCACCATCCCCATCGGTCACCACCATCCCACTGCCAACCTCCCCCCCGCTCCCCGAGGCTGGAGCTCTCTGGCAGCAGATCAGCTGGGACGGGAAAGGGACCAGCCACAATGGGGACGGGGACCTGACAGAGCCCCAGCGTTCTTCCCTGGACCCACAACCATCAGAGGGACCCACTGAGGTGGGAGCTGGCCTGCCCTGGAGCAGGGACATCCCTGGGACATAGGACATTTATGGAAAGCAGTGACACACCAGCAGGGATGGTCCCTGCCATGGTGGCTGTCCCTGCTGTGGCCCATGGCAGAGGTCCCCAACCCTCTCACCCTCCAGGCTGGGTTAGCACCGTCCCTGTGCCATCTCCTCCCAGCCTGTCCCCAGGACCCCCGGCGCAGGGCAGAGCTGGATCTCCCTGAGCACCCCGAGGTGGCAGCTCTGGGTGGGGGGGGTGGTGGCACCCAGGGACCCCCCCTGTGCCACGGCTGCCCCCGGCCACAGCACCGCGGCATCTCCGGGGCTTTGAAGCTGCCACTGGGCCACCGGCTCTGCCTGCCCAGAATAGCCCCTTTCCTGTCCCTTTCCTGTCCCTTTCCCAGCCTTTTCCCGGCCCTTCCCAGCAGTGCCGACGAGCCGGGGGATGGGGGGGGGAGCCCCGAAAACAAACGCTGGTTCCTGGGGGGAGCCTGAGATGTGCCAGCCCCGGACACACAGCCCGGGGGACAGACAGCCGGGGGGGGGAGCGGGGGCACCGCGTCCTCGTTCCCCTCCCACCCTTGGGGTCACCCCTTTCTCTCCCCTCGACCCCCCCCAGCCCTGAAACCTTCGGGTTTCTGTACAAACTGGGGAGCTGAGCCAGCCCGTATTGCCCAGATCCAGCCCTGCACTTTGTCTGTCTGTCCCAGTCCCTCCATCCGTCCCAGTCCCTCTGTCTGTCTGTCCCAGTCCCTCCATCCGTCCCAGTCCCTCCGTCTGTCTGTCCCAGTCTTTCCATCCATCCCAGTCCCCCCGTCTGTCCGTCCCAGTCCCTCCATCCGTCCCCCCCAGCGCTGCTCTCTGTCTCTCCATCCTCCTCCG